TCAATCTGTTCCAGGAGATTATTTAAATTGCCAAAATACGGAGTACCACCACTTCCATCAATCCCCCCCAGTCCGATTGTCATCCAAAACGAAATGTCGAAAGGGTTTTCGGACCGACGGCTTCTGGAATAGCTGACTCACTTCTGACCACAACAATCTATGATAGAAGATTTTAAGATATTTGTATTTTTCGGTCGTGATCGCGCTGGCTAAATGGTAGTAAGCTAGCTTTCGAATTTAGCAACCCGGGTTCGATGCCCGCCGGCGTGATACTTTCTGCCCTTTTTACCTAAATTTTAGCCAAGACTTAACGGGCCGTGACACTAGGCGTTTTCTTTCTTTAAGAAGCTTTTGCTTTTCTCAAGCTAACATATTTTAAGTTTAAAGGTTTAAAGGTTTAACCTTTTGATTGGTGCAAATAATCTCTGCTCGTCTGCCCAAAACTACTAACTTTTTTGAAAAAATACGATAATTTTGACGTTCTACAGTGATTTTTCGATTTTTCAGACAAGGCTAAGTGGTAGTGCGGTTGCTTGCCAGGCGAGCGGCCCGGGTTCGACCCCGGTGGTGCTAAAATTTTCGCTTTTTGGATTATAGATTCCTTATGACCCTTAAAACCCATTTATAGTCTGCCCGCGCCCCAACGTAAATTCTCTCTGCTAGCCTGCCTGTAAAATAATGTTCGCGATTCCGTCGATATTTGTCGATATTTCTTCGTTTTTTTGCAATCTGGCTGAGCGGTTCAAATTGAGAGCCATTGGGCTGCTTGGTGGCTGTAGATGGTGGCAGTGTCTCCGTCCACTTTTTCCTATCCCTTTTTCCGATCCCCTCTTTTTCGTGCCGTCTCCGCTATTTCTTGCCCTTCACCGCCTACCGTATATCTACCCAGAGGTCATCCACCCCGCACTACCGTAACTATGCGGGGGTGAGCATCGCGATTTTTAGTGATTTTTGGCCCGTTATTGCAGACTATTTCTTCGTCTCCATTTCCCAGTGTAGTTTTCGAATCAAAACTCGTCAAATTCCACTACCGAAACCAGCTTAAAGCCCGCAATTTCTTGAAAGAATTTTTATTAGGAATTTTAGCTTTTGTTAGCTGATTTGAGCTGGTTTCCGAACAACTTTTTTCTCCTAAATTTTCCGGCGTCGTCGTCCCTTCCTTCCCTGACTATTTAAAAAACAACCAAATTTGACTTCCGTAATCCTTTAAAAAATCGTGAATTTGTCAGCGATTTTTCTCATTTATTCACCGTCTGTTCCGACGAACCGTTAATGCACTCTCAATATATCGCTACAGTACCCCTCCAAACCCCCAGCACCGTACTAACCATGCCCGCATCCCTAATCCCCCGGTTTTTCAAGATTATCCAGGTCACTGACGCACCGGATTAGTCCCTTTTTTGTCTAACTGATTCTCCGGGTTCAAAAACGCACGCCCGGTCCAGTCTGGGTTAAAGGGATTAGGCAGCCGTATAATTCAACAGAATGCCAGGGGCATAAAAGTTCGGGGCTGACTTTTATGGGGAATTCCAAAATTCCAGACCTTCGCAAAAACATTTACAATTTTTGCACAAACGCTCTCGGCTAGCCTGCCTGAGTTTTCCGTTTTTAGCACCCCTTAAATCTGTATAATCCCACGAAAATTGTTCCCATCCGATTCCAAGAATTAACAGGCCCAAAGGTTCACCCCAGCTACACAACACACCTATCGACAGGGCGTCATCATGCGTAGCGTCGCGTAGCCCACTTCCGCTTACATTAAAATTTCGTAATTGGGGGTACGGTAAATTATGGGGGCTGACTACACGACACTCCTATGCACGCGGGTGCAATTAGGAATGATCCGGAAAATGGGATGGTAGCATTTTTGAACCGGGAACCCTGGAAACCTAGGATTAATGCTGGTTTTTAAAAATGAGGATCTTGGCTATAGAATAGCGGGTCAGAGGAGCTACGACTCATGTTTTTGGTGCCTTTCTAGTTCGATGACTGTTTTTTGGCGTTGGCTCAGCAGGTAGAGCGTTGGACTCTCAACCTGAGGGTCCGGGTTCGAATCCCGGGACCTAAAGCTTTTTGCTTTTTGTTCAAAAGTTAGTTAATGCCTTTTATAGCTCTAAAAGGCTCAGAATTCCTCGGAATTTTTGATAGTAGGCTAAGGCTAGCGGGTTCGAGTCCCAACCTCGGAGTTTTGCCTTTTTGCTCAGGAGTTTTATATTTCTGGAATCCTTGAAAAACCGTCAAAATTCTTCACGAATTTCTGCCAGCACCGTTGCCTCGATTTTCCACCTACACGATACGTTTTTTTCGCTCCAGCCAAAAAATGTTATGAGCCTCACGTAATCCGGTCTTTTGTATAATCCAGCCCCTCCCCCACCCCGACCGATTCAAATAATCCGCATAATTAATTCATCCTTCGTAATCCCTTGATCTCTCTCTCTCTCTCTCTCTCTCTCTCTCTCTGTCACACTCTCTCCCTCTCTCTCCCATCGAAAAAGTCAAAAGCGTCGGATCATCGGGATCAACAATGCCCATCCCTCATAATCCTGCTTCCGCCATTTTTTGCCGCAGACGATCAGTTTGTTAATGCGATCGCGGATTAGTATGGGAAATTAGCGGAATTGTGCCTTTTTTTGAGAGTTCACAAATTTTTTGTCTAGCGCTTCTGGGGGTATAAGAGGTTCTGGAGGTGCAGAATTTTTCAATGCCACTTGGAAAGTTCTATTCTAAGTTCCTTGGAAAGGAAAGAAAAACCTGGAAAGGCATAATTTTCTAAGTGTTACAGTGCCTTTGGAACGACGTTGCAAGCTATCACTTCGCCTTTAAAAAGACTTTTATAGGTTGTCACCGTCCCTTGAAAGGAATTTTTCGTCCTGTCACCGTACTTTGAATTTTTCATGCTGTCACCATCTCTGTAAAAGCGATTTGCTTTAACACACCTTTAAAAACATCTTCTTGGCGTCATCATCGCCTTAAAACATTTTCCACGATGTCACTGACCCTTTAAAGCTAATTTTCATACACAGCCACCCGTATAAAGTTGTTCTCAGCTGACCAATCCCTCTGTTCGGGAATTTCTAGGTGTCAGCAGCCATTTAACGCATTCTGGATGTTAAATGTCTTAAGGCTTTTCCTCATGAAACTGTCCCGTTAAAAACTATCTAAAGTACCTCTTAACTTACCGTATACCCTATTAATCACCCAAACCCCGTCGGGATTACGGTATCGGGCTATAGGAAGTATATATCTGCCGTAAAGATCAACCTCCCTGTCTCTCTCTCTCGCTCCACCCGACTGCCTCCCCGCCCCTCCTTTTTCCGTCCGGCAAAAAGCCCGTTTTTCGGGGCAGTCCCTGTGAGGAGAACGGCGTGTGCGGAAAGGTCAATAGGAGCAGCATGTAGCTGGGGGATTTAGGGATTTACGTTGTACGTATACGTTACTGTCCTTGAGGACGGCGTCTAGTAGCTTATGGTATTGTCCTAACCACGACATATCGCGGACTACGTTACTTCCTAATTACGGTAGTGTAACTGGTTGTAGTTATGTACTCGCGGATTCCGATTAGAGTACATTACTTTCCTATTATGGTACATGATGGATTACGGTAGTTTTAATTTATACGGTATTTATAGACTACGGAACTTTTCTAATTACGCTATTATCCTATACGATATTTTCCAGCTACCGTATCCCCTCTCGATCCGAAATATGCGTGTATATGCCCGTGTCTGTTGGTGTGTCTTGAGCCCTCCTCCCCCTCTCCCCGATATGCCCCGGAGCACCATAATCCCCCGTGGGGTAATCCTTTCGAAAAACCGTGAAAGTGAGACCATGATGCCCCCGGGCGCCTACCGTAATCTCCTCAGGCGATTCTGCCGAACTTTGCTGGGTTAAGAGGGTCGATAAGGGTTATGAGAAATTTAAAAAGAACCTTATATGTGTCGCGCTCCCTGAAGAATAAGTTTGAGGTTACCACGCCGTTGGAGTGGATTTTCTAGGTGGGACTATCCCTTTAAAACAACATCTCATGGTGAAACAAACGGTCCATTTGAAATATTGATTTTTCTCTCTCTCTCTCTCTCTCTCGCTTTCTCTCTCTCTTTCTTTCTCTAGTGCAATCTAAGAATTTCTGTACTTTCCAACAACGTCCTTCCCCTTCGGCGTACGTAATTCAATTGATATTCCTTTGATGGTACTGTCTGTCCACCCTTTTGTCTGCCTATGTATTTCCTCATAGTTTCTCAGAATCGTCCTCCTCTCCTCCCAATCCGTCGAGGCGGCTTCACCTAATTAACCGTGGCGGGGTTGACGTGAGAGCCGAAGATGGCCCCCTCTACCCCAAAAAGGACACCCCCTCCCCCTTTCTAATCCATCAAAAAAGGGCATTCACCCCAGAATCGGGCGAAATACAAAGATTGGGTCGCATATAGGGAAATTAGTCATGCCGTGGAATGGGATCCCGCCACGAATTGCGCATACACATACTGTCATTTTTCCCCGGAATTTTTAATGGTTCTTCTGGACACCGGCCTTAAGATTGTCGAACTTCCCTACTGCAACTATCTACCGTATCTGTGGCATTAAAGATCTTTGATTTTTGATTTTGGTTTTTGTGTGCATCTGCCCAACCTTCCGGATTTTCCCGAAAATCCCTGCTAGGTTACTTACCCATGGCCGGCTTTTCCTTGAAAAATCTCTGCTAGCCTCGCCCTTTAGAACTGATGATTTTCCTGAAGCGCTCTCTGCCTAGCCCCACTCTCTCTGGATCCCACCATCCTAGTCCATTTAAAATTGGTTGAATAATCTCGCTAACCAATCGGTGCCTCCCGAATTTTTTTAAATCGTCTTTACCAGCCGCTTTACCGGCTTCTGAGATAGCTATTTTTCCGCAAATAAATGGGCTAGCATGCTCTTCACGTGAAAAGACAAAATTAATGAATTTAATTTTTAGTTAAGTTATTTATTTATGCATATGTTAATTAATATAATTTATATTTTCAGGCATGAGCCTCTTCACGGTGGAGCAGCTGGAGCTGATCAGACGGCTCAAGACCACCGGTATCAATGCGGAAGCTGTGCTAGAGGTAAGGTCTCACTCGCTCTCTCTCTCTCTCTTTCTCACACTCCACATTAAATCGCCTTCTCGGAATTTCACGGAATTTTGGCCCGAATTCCGCTTTTTCCTAGCCATATAATCCGCACCTCGAGTGCGGATTGGCTGCCCCCATCTAGGTATAAAATAGGCGGGCCATCCCCCTCCCACCCGCAGCCCCTCGACTCCGTTTCCATACAAAAAACCTCCGGTTTTCCGCGCACCACCCCAATGTCGACAAAATCGCCAGATTTCAAGGGTAGATAGGAAGACGAAAAAGCGTTAGAAAACGCGGGATTTGCGAAATTTGGATTTAAGGGTGTCAGCAGGGATCCTTCAGGGAATTCTCTTGGCAAGCTGGCACTGATCATTTAGGAAAGTCTAAAAGTCAAGTCGAAAACGAAAAGACCCTTGAGGAATCGCTAAGAAATCTTTTTCAGGCGTTCCGCACCCTCGATGAGCTTGAGCGTGAGCTCGAAGTGGCGGCCCGACAGGTGCAATCCCTCTCCCAAATAGCCATGCCAAGCATCGAGCCTTCATCAACAATATCATCCCCTCCGGTCATCCAACCAACAAATCATCTACCACAAGCCGCGTCACCCCCCGCGCCAAGCCCTATCTTGTTGCAGGCGTTGAGAGCGCAGGTGAGCACAAACTTCATTCTGCATCCTGCTATGCCATTAAAAAAGGATTGCTTGTCATCGCTTGCCGGGCCCTTTAAATGACGTTGAGCGTGTTGAACTTGTTGGCAGCTTTAAAGCTTTAAATCCTAGGCTTGTTTTTATCTTAAAAAGCAAACTCGTGCACCTGCCTGAGTCGAACCCGGGTCGTTCTCCTGATAGCCTAGCGCACTACCATTTACATAGCTGCATTTGGACAATTTTCACAATTTTTCTCACTTTTTAGAACCCAGTCCCGCTGCTGATCTCTACCACCTCTCCTCTGATCCCATCCTCATCCCCAGAACGGCCGATGTCCATCCAAACGGCTCCAATTCCATCTACAGCCTCGGAATCCCCGCATTTCTCCTATGAAAGCCCATCTAGGTAGGAAAAGCTGCTGTCACGATCCCTTTAAATGCAATACTCTAATTTTTGTTTCCAGTTTCTCCTACGCCCAATACGTGCCCGGAACTCGACCAGTTCGAAGTCTACGCACCCCCATGAAGGAGATCACAACCCTCGACGACCCGCAAGAGCTTGAGGATTTTATGAAGCAGGGCGAGGAGGGATGTATCAACGACATGAAGCAGTTCATCACACAATACTCACTACGACAAACAACGGTGGCTATGATGACCGGTGGGTCTCTCTTCCTCTCTCTCTCTCTCTCTCTCTCTCTCTCTCTCTCTCTCTCTCGTTCTCAGGGTCAAATCCGCCAACTCCCCCCCTGAAAAGTACATAGGTGGTGGCGCGGTGCCAGTCGCCGATCTCGGCTTCCCCGTGTTTTTGAAATGCGAGAGAGAGAGAGCGAGAGAGAGACACACACAGACTACCCAATTCGCATAAATAGGTCGCGAACCCCCAGCGCGGAGATCTGCGCGGCCGGCAGGCCTGTAGTCTCCGATCCGTTCCCCCGTTCCGATTAGCCACCCCAGCCAGAGACTCCAAAAAAGGCTTGCCCTCGATTTTGAGGGACGGAAAAGAATCTGCATGACATTGGGACCAAAAAAACCAAAAAGCAAAAAATTACGGGGGTGCAGGGATCGAACCCGGGTCAGTCGCCTGGTATAATAGCACACTACCAATCAGGCATGCGACAATGCGCTACCAAAACCTTAAAAGTGTAATTTTCACAAAAGCCTTGGCTCTACGGTTCCAGAGGTATTTGAGTTTTGAAGGAAGATTCCTCGGTATTCCAGAAAAAGCTGTAAAATCGGGTAAAACTAATAAAATTTTTTTTTTCAGGCGTTTCCCAACCCTACATCTCAAAACTCCTCAACGGCAACCACCGCGAACTATCACTGCGCTGCCGTAAAAACATCTACTCGTGGTACCTGAATTGCCGGCGGCACCCAGAGAAGCTTGGTGGGTTTTTGAGGACAGCCAGAAAGCTTAAAACGCGTTATCGCTCATTCGATGGAGCGCACCAACCTACGCAGGTTCAGCCTATTCAAAAATTTGTAGCTATCACGGTAGTCGAGAAAATTTGGATTTTAGAGGGAGAATTTTCCGATCTTAGGGTCAAAGCCGGTGAGCCATTTTTCTCGGCTACCGTACTCTATTTTTCATTCATGAGGGTATTTTTGAGATCGTGATCAGTTGCAGAATTTCGCTTTATTGAATTCGCTATAGAATAATTAGATTCTTGCAGGGGTGGAATTCCTTTAAGGCTGGAATTTCGGCTTCACCGACCCAAAAAAAGCTGTTACAATAGAGGAAAGCAGCCAGCTCCACCCACCCCATTTCGAAATGGCCTACCGCACTTTAGGCGGCGGAATTGGGGCCTTTTTATTGCCCCCACCCTCTTTTTTTTGCCCCTTTTCTATAAAGAAAAACTGCACTTTGGCGGGAACCCCCCGAGGGGAGAACGAGAGAGAATGGAAAGGAGGCTGAACGGCTCGTTTCGTCGGAACGCCCGAATGCCATCCACAAGCCAGCCCCTAGCTCCCTAGAAAAAAAAGACGATAAAAAGCGCTCGGGCCGGCCGTTCCGCCACCCCCAGGGTGGTCCGGATTCTTTTTGGGGGAATGGGGGAACAACGAAAAAAGCTTAACCTGAAGGGAGAAGCCCGGGGAAAAGCGGAAATTACGAAAATCTCCGGTCTAACAAATAAAAAATTGCCATGCTACTTCTTATGGTGTTTTTGTAGTGATGAAGGCTTCTGAGCTTAACTAATCAATAGATCAGACAATTCTCATCGAGTAAGCGTAATGCGAAAAATGTAGATGATGGGCAAAATTCTAGCACTTTTTTTGGCTTCAACAATCCTTTAAAGCGATTTTAGATGCTCAATCTACAAAAAAATTGCGCCAAATGGTAGGGCAGAAGAAAAAACTGTCGAAAACTGAACATAAATACACTTAAAAGATCGGAGAAAATCGAAAATTCCGTCAAAAATGGGAGTAGCAATGCTGTTTTTCGTTTCCCCTTTCTAATCTACACCTAATCACGAAAAATAGCGCTCGGATTCCCACAAAAGTACAAACGTTTTCCATGCCTTGCCCTTTCTACCGTATTCTTTCCTATCCTTTCCCATCCAGAATAGTGGACAATGCCCTTTGCGGGCAGGTGACTGATTCAGTACGTCAGGCTCTGCGGACCTTGGAAATGCATAAAAATAGTGCCAAGTTATAGGAATCGTGTTGGTTTCTAGCTCTCTCTCTCTCTCTCTCTCTCTCTCTCTCTCTCTCTCTCTCTCTCTCTCTGTCTTTCTCTAGCTTTCTATCTCTTCTTCTCTTTCCCTCTCTCTCTCCCTACCCCGGCTCTCTCGCGAGAATTTTTCAAGACTACGCAATGCCACTATGCATTTTTGAGCAGGGGTAGTGTCAGGGAAAATTGGAAACACGCGAGGTTTAGGAACAGAACTATAGAACTATAGAAAGTAATAAAGTAACTAAAATCATGCAGATGGTCTCTGCTAGCTTGTCCGTCCCGATTTTCTCTCATCGGTCTGTCTCTTGCTCTCACTCGCTCTGTCTATTTTCCACCGAAATCCTTAACCTCCCGCACCAGGTGGTCAAAAGTGCACGAATCGGCGCGTGGATTTGGAGGTTTTTTGCGACGTAAGGAGTGTTCCCTCGGAAATGGTCGGAACGGCTTTGCACTTTGGCCGGCACCCCTTCCCCCAATAGCACTGCAGATCGCAGATTTATTGCGTATTCGTGACAGGAGCCCTGCCAGAGAAAGAGAGAGAGGGAGAGGGAGAGAGAGAGAGAGAGAGAGAGAGAGAGAGAGAGCCATCTCTTTGTCCTCAATTCCAATGCTGGGAGTCAGGGAGGGTTCCGAAAAACATCTGGGAACGCGGCAAAAAACCGATTTGTTGCGGGGGTACGGTAGAATAGCATGCGGGAAAGTAAGGGGTCAAAACGCAAAATATTGCCGCGTCCATGGGTCGAACCCGGACCATTCGCCCAAAGGCCTAACATGTTACCATTTAGCCACCAAAATCCAGGGTGTAGGCACCCAAAAATCAGATTAAAATTGCTGTTTATTAGTAAATTAAAAAAATACCAGCTAAGTGGTTTTAGAGGTGTTGCGAAGGCAGAAAATACTGTATTACTACGGTATACTACCGTGTTACGCCATTTTAATGGAAATTAACAGAATCCATTAATGCTCCCATTTCAGCCGCCTTCCTCGCCGACCCCGCCTCGCGCCTGGAGACGAACGGCGACGGCGAGCTGGTCCCACAACGAAGGGAGCGATACGTGTTTAGACCTATTTTAATTAGGTACGATTTCTTCGATTTACCCAGTTAAATCGAGATAATTCGAGGATCGACTTCCATAGAAACTCATGGTTTTTCAGGATGTTGGAGCAGTTCTTCGCGCAAACTCCTTTCCCGGACCTGACGCGACGCATGGAAATTGCCAACGCGTGCAACGCCGCCCTGAAGCAGGACAAGAAAGGTATCCAATTATGACGAGACGAACACACAGTAATGAAAACTTACTTCAGGCGTGAATCTGATGCCAAAAGAGGTCGTCTCCCCGCAAGTGGTCGCCAACTGGTTCGCCAACAAGCGGAAGGAGTTGAGGCGGAAAAGCAATGAAGAAGCCAATAAGGATTCAATGATGCTGGGGTCCACACCGACAACACCTGGCGTCATGCCAACATTTCCCCTGTCCGCATTTACGAATGGAATGCAGGGGACAGGAGGGGATTCTGCGGGGAAGGAACATCAGGAAAGTCCGGTAGGTCGAGACGTTTCGATGTAAAAGCTTACATATACCTTTTGGAGCAAAAAGCAAAAATGTGGCCCATGGGATTCGAACCCAGGTCGTCTTCCTGGAAAGCAAAGACATTACCCAGTGGCCATAGGAGATAATCACTGGCAATAAACACTTCAAGGGGCTTTAAAAATTTAGTTTTTTTAATGTTATCTAAAAAATGTATCAGAGCTGCTCGGACCTCGGTTCTACGCCATCCCCACTTCCTGATGAGACTACGGCAGCGGAAACGGCACGAAACGCTACTATGGACTTTGCGACGTTGGCGAGTCGACTTGGAATTGGGGTAAGCGAGAGAGAGAGAGAGAGAGAGAGCGAAAGAGCTATATACGCTCAAAGGATCAATGCTAGGTCCCCACCACATCCCTCATCTTTAGCGATTCCAGAACGGTTTCCCGCTCAACCCGAACCTGATGCTGCAGATGCCAAACCCCCCTTCATCCCTCCTACCGACATCCGAAGCCCCTACATTACTCCCAAATCTCGCCTCACAACTCCTCGGCGCGTTTCCGCTACTCATTTCCGGTGAGTGCATTAGGGAGAGGTTAGGCTAAAGGGCATGAAAAGTGCGAGAATCTACCCCCACCACCGGCTAGATCTCGACAGCTAGGCAACGGTCCCAGCTATTATCCCCTTCTCAGTCCTTTTACATGGCATAGATATCAGGAAAATCGCTCATTTATCTCAACTAAGCCTCGACAACTAGGCGCAACCCCAATTCACACCACCGTTAATTTCCAGGCAACACCCCAACCACCCTCCCATCCAACGACGAGCTCCAGCAGCTGCTCAACATCCACCAAAATCTCCTCAAAATCGAGCAGCACGTCGAATAGGCCGTCGGCAGCGCCGGCATCGTCTGGCTCCGAAAGCGAAAATTTTGTGCCGAGCTGTGGCCGAACGCGAATCGTGCGTGTGGCGGACGAGAGCACTACCAATTGGCCATACGTTGATTGAGCCTTAAAGTCCCGCTCTCTAGCGAATTGGTAGTGCGTTTGGCTTCAGTTTCAAGGCGCGAGTTCGAATCCCTTCCGCAACAAACTTTTTGCTTTTTGGTCCGGACCTATATCTTGCTGTTTTTAACCCTAGCTCCCTATATTTTGCGTCTCCGAAACGTGTTTCAACGTGTCCACTACATATGCATCTCTTGCCATGGCATAATTCGCAAAACCCCCCAAATATCCCCCGTTTTAGTTTTCCAATTTTTTTTATTTTGCGCTTCGGTTATCGTACCCTGTAATACTACTACCGTACACCAGTATCGAGTATGCCAAATTTGCATATTTTCTGCTCTTCACTTGCCCCCTTTTTAGTTTTTATTTTTTGCCCCCAGCCAAATCGCCTGCTCATCTGCTTTATCATGCCGAAAATGTTTTAAAGGGGCATACCAGGCGAGCTAATGGTTTCTGCTAGCCTGCCCTGACTTTCATGGGGGCTGGGAAGGAACGATCGATCAGAAATGCGCGAAAAATCGCTTTCGAGCCATGGCGCAGTCGGTAGAGCGTTTGCCTGTAAAATTTAAGGTCACGAGTTCGACTCGCTGTACCTACAGACTTTTCCTTTTGCCTGTTTCCGATCCTTGGAAACTGCCCAGCCCCTTTAAAATCGTCGAATTCCCCCGATTTCCCGCCTGTTGCTTGTCATAATTCAGGTGTGATCGACTCCCCCCGTTAACTAGGTGACCTTTTTGTTGTATTTCTATTTTGCTAATTTTACTATTTTTTGGGCACCAGTACCGTATCGACATGTCTTTCCGATTTTTTCTTAACCTATTTTTGAGGCTTTGCGGTGTTTTTATCGTTATGCTTTTTTGGATAAAGCTGTATACGATCGTTTAAAGTTTGTTTATTTCGTTGGATAGCGTGAAATTGAGCAAAAAATGAAACAATAAAACAAATAGAATATTTACATTCAAAATACAAACAATTAGTGGTAAAAAATACCCTGAATCAACAAAAAAATAGCATTGTTTGATGCAAATTATGCAAAATAGAGGGCGAATTTTAAAGGGAGAAACAAGACGTGGTGTTTTAAAGGGCCGGACAAGGCGCAGCTATGTATTTTTCTGGCTTTTGCCTTGTCGATCCCTTTAAAAAGGATAAATCAGCCAGTGTTGAGGCGAAATAAAAACGGAAAATTGAAATTGGTCACGTTCAAAAAGGGGCGGGGCTAGAATCACACAGTTCGTTGGGGAACCCGTTGAGAAATGGTGTTTTGGGACGAGGGTTACGGTAGCTGGGGCAAGGCTTAGGCGGGTGGGAAAAACACGTGTACCGGTTGTTGGAGGACCAGAGGAAAACGGGGCATCAGGGTGAAATTTGCATTTTCGACTAGAATCTGGGTGGGTTGGCTGAATTTGGTGGTGAAATGTACTGTGTCAGATCTGTGCATCGGGGATGGGGGGATACTGTAGCACCGTATCGTTTTGGCATTTTGTTTGGCGAGAAGACGAAGCCGTTCAGACCATCTCGGATGGAACGGGACCGTACAAGTCGGAGTACACCTGAAAATTGGCATATTAAAATGCGTATTTTTTCCGCAATGGCCTCTGCTAGGCTGGTGTGGATTTTTAGCAACTGAAAGCTTCATAGGTTCTTGAAATTCCAGAATAACCTCTGGTAGCTTGGCACGAATTCTTAGGGGCTAGAGTTTCAACGGTCTAATTCCTCAATGATCTCTGCACGCCTGCTGAAATTTCAGTTTGCCAAAAAATCTCTGCTAGCTTGCCTAACATTACCCACCTGCGATGAGGTATTCGACGATCTACAGTAGGCCTGTCGGGATGGAAGAAGTGCCCGTAACCGTTGCCAAAACATTGGATCCGATCTCGGTAATCGTTCATGCTGACGAAGCATTCCGCCCAGGACATCGTCCAGTCGATTCGTGTCAACATCTAAAAAATCCGATCCAATTGTCAAGCCCAAACTCACCATCACCAATGACGGCAATGATCTTCTTGGCCCTGTTCTTCGAATACAGCTGATGACTCGTCTTTATTTGCAGCGTTTGCCACTCATTTTCCAAGAAATGCCGGGTGAGGAACAACACCAACGCGTTCGAGCACTCCATTTGGGCGATCAGTTCGTCCTGGATGGTGTGAACCTGGAAATGAGGGTGGTTTAGTTTAATTTTTTAACTCTGTCTCTCTAGCGTAATTTCAATAGTATTATACCTTCGAATTGTAAGCCGGCCCATCCCGATGTAGAAGACATAGGTGATAATCTGCCTGCTCCAACTCTCGACAAGTCTCCTCCACCCATTTCTCGTCCTTTTTTGCGTACGACACGAACGCGTCGGGATTCGGGATTAACGGGATTGGGAGTGGAGATGAGCCGGTGGTAGATGAGCAGTTGAGGGAGGACGGGGCTTTGTATCTGGAAAATGGCTGCTTAGACGGGTTTTGAAGAATTTTTCGAGCTAAAACGATAATTTCCGCTTTTATTGAAAGTGGGCATGGAGTAATCGACCACGCTGAACACGCTGGTCAGCTCCTTTTTTACACTCCGACAGCACCCTCATCTTCGGCTAGTTTGATTTGGCCCAGGCACGTTTGAAACTGCCAGAAATTACGCCTTGAGGCCGCCGTTTTCTCGAAGGTTGATTCTTGCACCTCCTCTGATCCATCGAACACTGCGCCCGTCGCACTATAGCCCAGCAGAGACACACGAGAAGTAGAAGGATGACAGCAACGAGGAGACAGATCACCAGCATTGATGATGACGGCTCAGCACCGAAGAGACCATTGTCAAGCGGGACACAGAGGGTACGGTTCATCTCACGGACAAAGTCTGGAAATACGTATTTTTGGTATGTCCATTAATAGATTTCATCACCACATTTTCGGCAAGAAGCTACAAATTCTACACCGACTGGAATCGAACCCGGGTCGTTCGCCCGAAAATCTAACCCATTACCACTCAGCCACGCTTGCAGAGATGAATCAATCAAAAAAATAGTTATTTTAGCTTTTCGAGCAAAAAGCAAAAAGTTCTACGCCGCCGGGGGGAACAAACCCGAATCATTTTCCTTACCAACAAGCCCACTACCACTTCAACTTTTTATTTTCGAATTTGCGACACTATTAGTGTGGTTAAAGTGAGGGCAATAGCTAGTTTACCCATTTTCACCCACCATCCATCGACATTTGCACCAGATCATCGCCCAGATTCGGTGTATGACCGGAGAGGGTTGTCGTGTCGTTTTCGCGAAATGCACGGGTCACGTTTTCGACGCACAGGACTCGTGCGTAGTCGGGGACCTGGAATTTATTGGGTTGTTTCATAGACCTCACGACGCAATCTCTCTCTCTCTCTCTCTCTCTCTCTCTCTCGCTCTCTCTCTCTCTTTCTCATTCCCTACCTTTTCCCGATGATCACTAATCCACTGTTGTGCCATAAATCGTGTCCCACAATCACATCGAAATGGATTCGAGGAGAGACTAATCGACGATAGAGCAGAAGCCGCATCCAATGCCGATGAGACGTCCTCCAGATGATTGTTGTGAAGGCTCAGCTAAAACGGGGATTTTGATGTTTAAAATGTTCAAATAGTGGAAACAGATAAATATATACGTAAAAATCAGCACCTTCTCAATTTTTGGAACCTTCTTGATGAGAGAATCGTCAATGTCGGACAGTCGATTCCCATGAATATAGAGCTCTCGGATGTTTGGAGATTTCTGGAGCTCGTCTCCTGTCATTCGCTCAAGTTCGTTGTCGGAGAGGTCGAGAACCTGAAGCAGTGGATTAAGATCTGGCTTGGACTCAGCTTAGGAGTGGTCCCCGACCACTTTACTTAGGTTTAGGTTAGGCTTAGGTTCAGGCTAGGTAACGAAAAAGCCCATAGCCATAGCCTTGCAAGTCCCTTTAAACCCTAAAGGGCACCACCACTGACCTCCAAATTTGGTAGCGTATTAAACGCGAGCGGCTGTATCTCCCTAATTCGACTTCCGTTGATCTTCAGGTGCACGAGCTTCTGACGGCCGAGGAAGGAGTGAGCACGAAGGGTCGGGAGGTCGAGACCAGACAGCTCGATGTGAGTGGCGCGGACAGGGAGATCACGGGGTGACAAAGTCTAAAAAGAGCTTAAAAAGGGAGTCTGAGCGGTTTTCTCTTTAAAGAAACGTTGGAGGCAAATTCATAAATTATAGCACCGGAAAAGCGGATTAATGATACCTTATTCCCGGGGTTTCCATGGCAGCGGACGACATTCGTGGAAAATGATGCGTCTCTGAAGCACTGGCATCCCTTCGGACAGACAGATCGACAATCACACGATCCGAATTGACAGCAAATACAGCCTGGCTCGCAAACCTGAAAAAAGTAGCTTGTTTTACGTTTCGAGGACTTAAATTTTAAAAATTCCTTAAATGATGTTTTTAGCCTTGTATTCATATACTTGATGCGTATTTTTACTTACCTTCTCATATTCGCACAACAAATCGTTCGACTGAATATCCGACAGCGACACGCGATTCTTCTGGATCGGATGCCGGCAGAAAGTCTCCTCCTTGCCGACGATCTCCACCGATTTCTCGTCCTAAAAACATCAGGTAAACGAATTGCGCATCCGAACCTAAATTTTCATTCCCTGATTTTAAATTTACTTTAAACTAAGAAATTCGGGAAAGCTAAGCAGCTTTTAGGCAACCCTGCCCCACATCGACCATTGTCCTTTTCACTCATGGATTGCCGCCATGGCTCAATTGGTAGATCGTTGGTCTTTCAGTCCGAAGTCCTTTGGCTCGAGGGTTCGATTCCCTGGCCACGAACAACTGTCTTTTTTGGCTTTTTTTATTTTTCGTATTAATAGTTATTTTATAGCTGCGACTTACCTTATTTTTGGCCCAATCCATATCACATGAGCAGCTGAGTGGATTATTCTTCAAATGCAACTGGAGCGTCTGAAGTGGTTCCTTCCGTTCTATCGCCTCGAAGGCGATCGATTCGAGTAGATTTTTTTCCAGATTCAGCACCCTGACCGCAGTTTTTCCGAGGAAAGTGTCCTTTGCGATCGAGCGGATTCTGAAATTTAATTTTTAGATATTTGAGTTATTAATTATTTTAAGTATTGATTGATTTTATTTATGTTTTAGCATTAGGGGTCTTTAATAAATTGTACACTTCTTACTTATTCGAGGTAAAATCGATCCTCTCGATCGTGACGGGAATCTGGTCGGCGGCAAGCTGTTCGATGTGATTCTCGCGGAATGTGGCGGAACGGATTCTGGAAAATTGTGTATTAAAAAGGGAGAGAGAGGGAAAGAGCGCGAGAGAGAGCGAGAGAGGAAGAGAGTGAGAGAGAGACAGACAGCCCGACCTGCTTCCAATCGCCGCTCCAAGTAGCGTGATGCGATTCGCGTCAGCGTAGAAGTGCTCGAGACTCGCCGGAAGTTGGTCCCATTGCAAGATCTAGAAAGATTTCTCACCTTGGAAGTTCCCAAAGATCTCTGCTAGCTCTGCGTCTCTGCAAATTCCTCCAAAAATTCTCTGCTAGCCTGCCCCTCACTGGATTTTTCGATCTCACCTCTAAATGGTTCATCGAAAAGTTGAACGTCTTCAGCCCGACGGCCTCCTCCAACCCTCCAAGGCTCCCCAACCGATTCTGCGACAAGTCCAAGAAATGCAGTACTGGCACCTTTCGAAGGGCATCCTGAAAACGGAAAAATTAGATTTTTCAGCTTTTGCCTACCTTCTCGATCTGGGAAATCTTGTTGACCGACAAATCGAGACGAGCCAATCGTGGACAATCCGAGAACACGTAGCCGGGCACCTGTAAACGGTCATTAGAGGGTATGGGAAGCAAAGATTTGACAAAGTCCATCCGATAGAGCAAAAAATTCTGAACAACATGTGATTTTCAAGCATCATTACAGACTGCGGTATTCGCGAAAATTGGGTCGTTTTTGTCCAAAATTTCTGGCTTCTTTTCACGACTACCGTAACCCAAATTCAATTTTTGACAACAATTATTTATTGCGAATCTTCTGCTCTATCCAGACTGACACGAAAACCCACGATATGCAAATCATTATGGCTCAAGTCGACGGTGTGAAGGGAAGGCGAGCGATTGAAAACCGTCATGAATAGCCGACTGTAAGTAGGTGTACATTGTAGCGTAGTGGACTTTATGTTCTAACCTGATCTTATTCTGGCTTAGATCGACTCTGCTGAGTCGTCGCAAATTCCCAAGGGCCAACGGAGCTTCGGTTAGTTGATTTTGGGCCAGGTCGAGGTCGGCTTAAATTCGAAAAATATTATTCTAATTATTCGTGTTATTTTGAAAAACTATATTTATTTTACAGGAGCGCTTAAGACAAGTTAATGCATTTTTAAGTGCCCGCAACAGGTGACGCACTCGCTCTGCATCTCATTGCACAATCGATTATGTCATAAAAACGGACGTGTGTCTGTATTATAGAAAGACCTATAGGAATTTCAGCTGAAAAAAATCCAGACGATTTACTGGTCATTCCCTTTAAACACAAAAGCAAAAACACTGTCGGTTCGAGGATTCGAACCCTTGACCTTTAGATCAAAGCCTAGCGCCCGACCAACTGCGCCAAGGGACATACCGACGCTAAGGTCTGCAAACGCCGAATTTTCGACGGCGTTGATGGTATTGTTGCGTAGTGAGAGCTCAGAAAGGGAGACAAGGCCCGAGAAGGCGCCGTCGCGCAGTTCTTGGAGTTGATTGTCGTCGAGGGAGAGCTATAAATGGTTGGGTAAGTCTTTAAAAAAGTTATTTGTCCTTCCTCCCTGTCTCTCTCTATCTCTCTCGGCTTCTGGTTTCCCTTGACCCCCTACATAAACTTCCATAAATCTAGTACACCCCTACCCTGTCCGTCAATAGGTGTACCGCGTTAAACAGGGCAATTTCAGGGCGAGAGAGAGGGAGAGAGAGCGACAGAACTCTAGCTGAAGAGGGCAAAGCGATTGTTGCATTGTGTGTGTCTATTGTGGGGGGTATTCATAGGTGGAGGACATGCGCTCGGAGCATGAGGTGTCCAATTCCACCGTAGCCAAATTTGGGGCGCATTTCAGGGTGGAGTGAGTGAAGGCTTAGAATTCCCAAATGATCGCTGCTAACTTGCCCAGAGTTGTATCTATTTCCGAAATCTCCCATCACAAAATGGTCTCTGCTACCTATGTAGCTTCCTAACATAGCAATTGGTCTCTGCTGGGTTGCCCACTGACGATCCAGAACTCCCAAAGAATCACTGCTAGGCTGCCATCTCAGATCCGAAACAATTATTGCTAAAGCTTCTTTGAACACACAAACGATCTTTGCTAGTTTGCCTTTAAAAGATTTTGTGCTCCCCAAATGATCCCTGCTGGTTTACCCCAATTTTTGTTTACCGCTGCTACACCTACAGGGTGGGCCAAGCAAAAAGTACAGAGTTTGGGTCAAAATAACTCGCGAACGGTAGAGAATTGAAGGTACGTTACCATGCCAGAATGCTTAAATATGCTGGGTATGAAGATTTAACACAACTTGATTTTTTCGATTTTTGAGTACGAAACTGTACTATTGACGTTGGTTACGACCGAAAATTGTGCGTTCTTGAACGGGTGGTGGAAAAATTCTGATTTTTGCCCCAATAATAGTATAAATTTGTAGAAATGTAATGGCAAAATTTTAGAATTTTTCGAGGTCTATTTCATTTTTTACAAACAAAACAATTTTTGCGAATTTGCGTTATTTTCTTCTTTAAGTGATAACTCGCTTAAAACTCACTGCCCATGGCTGATATTTTGCCAATGGCTTATCCAAATATTAATCTCGGATTCCACACCAGATACCACCATAATCTATGGTATTTTTGTATTGCTTGCTAAAACGTGCCCCAGCGGGGTACTGTAGGTTTCGTTTTTCCCGCTTTTCTCGGCTCCCCTAGATTCGATCCGGCTGAAATTTTCTGGGTTGTTAGGCAATAAGTAGTCGCATCTTGCTGCCAAATACGAGAGCGTACTATCCACAAACTTTCATGAAAAAGACTAAAAACAGATTTTTTTAATTCTGCGGCAGAATTTTGTATATTTTTTGGTCAATTGGTCCAAAAACTGCTACTATTGGTTTTCCGAAAAGATCGAAGCGATTCCATGGCAAAAACACCACGAAAATCGCAAATTTCGGTTTTCTACAGTAACCCCCGTGGAGCGCGTTTTAGCATGCCATCACAAAATTCCATAAAGTGACGAGTTTTCTATTCGAGGGCCTTCTAGAGTTGATTGTAAGATAACCTGTGAAAAATTACTGATTTTGGGTGGTAAATAACAAAGTTACGAGGCCAAGTGCAAAACAAGGCCAGAGAGCCGATTTTGGGTCCAGTAGCCGGGTCAATTTTCGAATTTTTAAAAATAAAAAAACCACCTGCCTCTTATCGGTACGATTAAAGATTTAATGTTTTTATCTACGCTCGTCAAATTCGGGGGCAATCTGATTCATGATCATGGTGACTTTCAGCTCAAAATCGAAGATCACCCTATTCCAAAATCGAAGTTTAGAAATCTTCATAAATTTTTTGCGACGTGAAATTGTTTTAATCTTTGCATAGTTTTATCCAACTGATAGCACAGACTTATTTCTCAAAATATCCCTACGGGTCCACCTTCAAAAATTTTTTTACGCAACCTCGAATTCGGTTTATTTCGGGTTTTGATGAATTTTCTTGGCACCAACGGCTGGGTAAAAAAATTCATGAATAAGGCTTTAGGATGAGCTATTCAAATTATATCAGATAAAAATAAAACAAAAATTTTCAAAGCGCGACTAAATTTTATAAAATGGTGACAATATTTGGAAAAAAGCACGAACGAACCGTTTTGGAGGCCCTAAAAGACGCCCTTCCAAAGGGGTACGGTAGCTCGAAATTTTGTAGATGATAGATAAACCCCGGAACTACATAGCTAAGCAAAGAAAATAGCTGAGCCCCCTTCGACAATTTTAAAATATTTTGCTAAAGTCCGGTTTCGTGACCGCGAAAAATCCATGACCAGGGGGTCGTTGAAAAACTCGAAAATTCGTCGATCTCAAAAAATTCCTTAATATGTTTATGCGATTGTGTCAAGCCCGTAGGTATTCCAAAACAACTGCTTTTGAGGTTTTCGCCATAGGTTTTTTCAATATTAAAAATTTTCGAAATTTCTCCATACAAAATTTCATTCCTCTCTAACTTTTCAACCAAACCCTCAAAAATTCTTAAATTTTGTAGGTACATATCTGCTGTCTATATTAACTTACTTAATAAAAATTAGATGCCAGCCGCCACAGGAAACTGAGAAAAATACAAATGAAGTTTCCCCGAACGCACAGTTTTCGGGTGTCATTTGTATTGATACGTCGCCGAAAATCGAAAAAATCAAGTTGTGTTAAATCTTCATACCCAGCATATTTAAGCATTCTGGCATGGTAACGTACCTTCAATTCTCTACCGTTCGCGAGTTATTTCGACCCAAACTCTGTACTTTTTGCTTGGCCCACCCTGTAGGTATGGATATCAAATTTGAATATGAATCCCCCAAAACCCCTTGACCTTCGCCCCCACCTGGGGGATCTCGGTTTGTCTGGGGGTAACAGGGGTATGAATGCCGATCGAGGCCGCTGCCTGGGAATCTCTCTCTCTCTCTCTCTCTCTCTCTCTCTCGCTCTCGAACCGTACATCTCCATACAATAATTGTAGGGCGCACGGCGACTTTTTGACGGGGGTAAACACGCGAGAAATGGACTGACGGGGGTGACACCTCGGTGGGAAAGAGAGGAACGTCATTGTTTTGAGATATTGTACTGTATCGCAGCTCTAGATTTCAACCAAAATAACGACAGTCCGAAATCACGGCTAGTCGAAATGTCGACAGGGAAAATCGGCCGCGGAAACGAGACAAAACAAGGAGAGACAGAGACATAGTGTGGGGGGAGACAGGCTTAATTTGCATGAACCTACAGTCTGAAGCCGTGCAAACTTCTGGAATCGCTCGGTGCCCAAATCACCGATCCGATTCGCCGAAAGATCGAGATTTACGATGTTCCCCAACGACTTGTTCAACAGCTTCGCCGGCAAATGGTGGAATCTAAAAATAGGAAATAGAAGAGGAAGACAGAGTGAGCGAGCGAGAACGAAATTATTTACCTACCGATTATAGCTCAAATCGACCGTCTCCAACTCGCCGGTCCCCAGCTCGAGTGTGTCATCTGAATTCGGATTTTTGCGTTTGAAAGGATAGTGTTTTCCAACCTTCCTCGATGAAGTTGCGAGACACGTTGAGGCTGACCAGTTTCGCAAGGCCGGCCATGGAGTCGGGGATCTGTCGGAATTCGTTGTTTGCTAGCGAGACGTGGACCAGGTTTTCTGAAAATCGAGGGTTAAAGGGACATTGATTGAGGTAAAGATGTGCAAGTTGAGCTTCGGCTTAGCTTAGACTTTGAAGCGAACAACAAACCCGGCAACGCCGGCAACTCCTCCAACCGATTTCCTTCCAAATCTAGCTGCTGTAGAAGAGCAAGAGGGGCAAAAGCCTCCGACGAGATCGAGGAGAGCAGCCCTCGCGCGAGCGATAGCTGCCGTATCGACGGCAAAAAAGCCAGCGACTGTGCGTCCAACTTCTTCAGCCGGTTCCCCGAAAAGTCGGCAATGATCAGCTTCGATGGGCACTCGGGGGTGAAGTCGAGACGGTCCAGCGCATTTTCGCTGATGTTTAGCACCTGGAAGAGGATAGAAATTGATTAGAAGCAAGAATCAAAAAAAACCGGGCGTTCGGGAATCGAACCATCGACCCTTAGTCTAGTAGGTTTGGCACTATACCATTACACCATGGTGCGCAAAATTTTCAAATGGATTTTCCAGGGATGTCTAAGCGTATTTTTTATTATAAAAATCGTAAAAATTCAGCCGATGAAAAAATTCTACAGACTATTTTCTGACCTCCGCTCTACCTTGCCGGCCCCTTTAAGGTACTTGCTCCACACAGATTGTCATCCCTAATTCTTGCGTTCTCCCCAAATCGTTGAGGCAATATCGGGGGATCGTGGCAGCTGCCCTAGCTCTGGATATTGCCACTTCAATACCGGGGGGGGTGTCTCGCGGAATATGGCCTCTCCCAGCCGGGGCGGCATAAATCGGATCATATTAGGGGCAGCAGATTACGACCCTTAGAACATTTCATTAATGCTCAGGGGGCTAGCATAGATTATTTGGAGAAATGAGGATTTTTCCCTGATCCTGGGCAAGCTAGCCGACATTTTTGAGGACCTGAAGAGCTTACGGTAGCTCTGGGCAAGCCAGCGGAAATCTTTGAGGAGCCGATGTTGAGTTTATGGCTCTAGGCAAGCTAGTAGAGATCATAAAGATTATTTCCAGGCTCTGGGCAGCGTAGCAGCGAGAGAGAGAGAGAGAGAGAGAGAGCAGCATAATTTGAGGAAAGCTAGAGTCATTTCCGCTGGGGCAAGCTAGAAAAAGTCATTTGCGGAAATCCAAGCGGAAGTCCCGACTAGCAGACTGGCAGAGAGAATTTGGGATGTTACTAAGTTTTCCGACTCCTTGGCAGCTAGCAGAGAGCATTTAGGCAACAAAATTTCGTCTTTGCCCTCGGCATCTTGCAAAGACGGTTTCAGGTCAAAATTCCCCGATTTATGCGTAAATTACTTCCAAACCACCTTAAACTCGGCGTTTCACCCCCCATTGGTGCCAAAGGACTCTTTTCCACCCCCCGCCATAACCAATTATGAGCCGCCAAAGCCATCGATTCACCCACCCGTTCCCCACTTTTTGCATATCCCCCTTCCCTCCCTTCTCGGTCCCTTTAATTGAGCACTTTCTTCTGTCGGTCTCTCTGTCTGTCTGTCTGTCTGTCCCTTCCTCTCTCTCTCTCTCTCTCTCTCTCTCTCTCTCATTCCTTGGCCACGGGCTGACGGAATTTATTGGGCGTCCGTTATGAGGAGGCCGTTTTCAATGCCGATGGGCCATTCATTCTGCCAGTTCTGCCAGTCATCCAAAGAAAAGTCACCCCGGGTTACCCGGAATGAAGATGGGGGAGGGGGATGGCAGAGACAATTTGGGAATGGACCCAAATATAGCCGTAGCTAGGGGGATTCTGGCCAAGATTTATGTGGATGCTAGCAGGGACCATTTAGGAATTGCAGAAAATAGGCATGCTAGCAGAGTTTCTTTAGGAATGGCTACGGCCTGTAATGAGCAGAAACAGAAACAAGCAGAGATTCTTAAAGATTATTTGAACAAAAGCTATGGAGCTCGGGCGCTAGCAGATACCATTATGAATGCGGGGAGCGTCTTGTAAGCTAGCAGATATCAAAATACTTTTTTTCTTCCCTTTTTCTCTCGCGTTTGCCGGGCATGCTAGAAGCCTTTCTTGAGGAAATACCCCCGCCCTGAATTTCCTCGAAAATTCCACAAAAATTCCACACCGCCCCGGTAGTCAAAGCCATATCCAGTTTTTGCTAAATGGTGCCCCCTGAATGGTGGCTCGCACTGGCCTTTGAAGTGCATCCCCCCGCTAATCCTCCACCCTTTTGGTACGCTATGGTGCGACAAAACAGGCTCTTCGGCCTCTCTCTATCACTATCTCTCTCCCCACGAAATCCGGTCCCTTTTAGCCCCCGGGACCCCTAATTGGCCCCCGACCAAAGCCAACACAGTAGTCATTAGCCCATTTAATGGGCGTGTATATAGGCGTGTTGCGTACTCGAGTCGGAACACCGCAAAGGGGGGCAACGGCTCGGATTTCAGATGCTCGGAGCCGCTCGGGGAGCAAGCTAGCTAGGATTATATCCACTAGAGCGCAACGTAACGGAATAAACCGGGCTTTAACGGGATTGACAAGGCAGAGAGGGTTATGGATATCATTAATAAAGACCAAGGATGACATGATTAAGTTTAAACTACCGTATGTCGGCTAAATAGCATTTTGAAAATTTCAAATTTCGACAGCATATATTTTTGAAGCGCTTTCTAATCGCAGTAATAAAAAGTTGTGCAAATGTAGGAATTTAGAGCCACCCATCTTAAAAAAATTATGAGTTCAAAATTTATTTCCGAGTTTTATCGCGGCGATCATAAGAATACAAATGTTTCAAGGCATATTAAAAAATAGAACCACTGAAGGCCTACAAGCTCATATATAAAACTTATCAAAAATAATGGTCTGCTATCTGAACCGATTTTTTAGAAGTGAGGTTTTGATTTTTAGCAAAAGAATTCGCTGAATTTCCAGACTATAATATTTTATAGTTCATTTTCAGTCCAATGTAAACCCTATTTACACCTTGTATTGCACCGAAATCCAATCACCGAGCTCTAGAAGCCGTACCTAGATTGAGCCGGTCGGTGTGGCCGATTGTCGGTGACACCTGCCCCCGCTATCCCCCAAGGGACCCGCATAGAATATGCAAATTAGCCACCGGAAATGGGTGATTTCTACCGACAACAGCAACTAGCCAACCAACATCTCATCAATATTCAGGGCTAGGAAAAAATATGAGACTCACCATAAGATGGGGCAGCTGGCAAAGGTATTTGATGGTAGGGCGACGAGCCGGGAGCCTGAGATGTGAAGCTTTTCGAGACGACTCAAGGGCGTCAACTCGTTCTCCGTCAATTGGAAAGTGGAATCGACGGCAGAGATCTGGAAAGGTATATAGGTATACTTTGGGAACTAACAAAAATTCTAGTTAACTCCGCGTTTTCCCCATAAATTCAAGGTTTTAGGAATCTTCAAAATGCGATAAGTTAGATAAATAAAGCTCAACCAGGGTTGAAAAGCCGCTTCGCGACTTTTCAACCCTGGCCCCGTCTGATCCCATGATATTCGTTACTTTGCATAGTTCTCGTGTTTTTCGACGACAAAAAAATGAGAAACGCTACCTCTCTTCCCTTATATAAGCTCCCACAACATCCGGCGTATGCTAATTGCTTCCTAACAAAGAGGGTCACCGATTTTACAACAAAAACTTAATTTTAACGTCGAAAACAGCGACTTTTTGAAAATTTTATGAGTGTGCAGTCATCCCAAGGCCATTACGCACCTAATGACGTATAAAACATACCCCTAGCTACCCCCCTTATTGAGATACTACTGGAACACGCTGACGGAAGTTGCATGCAAATGCACACACACACACAGGAACTATTTTTTTTTATATAAAGCTCAATTGCCTTCATCTGAAGTTGTAAAAATACATACTTTTGAGAGCTCTATAATGACATATTTTAAATTGTATGCAAATTGGTCCATATTTAGTTATAGTTTCTCTACGTTTCTAATTTTTAGTTTTTCTACGCTTATCGACTAGTTTTTTGCCTATATCTTCGCGATTTAAAAACATCAACGTTTCAAAAGTATTGCAAAACTTTGGGAAATTAAAGCGCTACAAAATGATGTCCAAAACATTGAAAACTAGATTTCCTAAGATTTTTAGCGGTTTTTAGAAGTTAGAAAAATACGAAATTTTAGTTTTTTACCTCTTCCATATGCAGGGCTCGCAGGTTTTGCAACGGGGCGAACGCCGGGAAAATCGAAGCCCCAACGCGGCATCCCTGAAAAATATATAATTATTCTTTTTTAATTTTTGTCAGCATTTTTTAAGCTAAAATTATTTTCGGGGCTATATTTCCGTTTGTTTACTCCTCACACCCCGTTCGAGTTAATTGCCGTCATCACGCAGTCCCCCGTGGGCGCCGGACACCAAATTACGGCTGTCAGAAAAATTTCAGACACCCCCACTACCCCGAAGACGTGTGGATAATGCCTAAATTGCGGTCAATGGGGGGGGGGGGGGGCAGATGCTAGTCTCCCACCCTTCACAACCCCAAAAAGACCTCAAAAGAGTATAATGGCTCCAAGGAGGTGAGTATGGAATTAGGGTCAAGGTATAGGCTTATTACTGGGTTTAGAAACCGCGATATAACCCATTTTACAAAGAGCAAAAAGTTTCCCGCCGGCGGGACTCGAACCAGAGTTGTTTTCCTGGCATTCTAGCATTCTACCATTGAGCCTGAGGGATCGGTTTCGCAAAAGGATTGAATTTAAATGGCTAACTTAAGTTTTTAACTGGGTTTCGAAACCTCGATACCTCGCTTTTTAAGCCTTTAAACTTTAAAAACTTTTAAGCCTTTAAACCTCCTTGAAAACGTTTAAAATTATTCAGAGGTTTCAGGTTGATTTTTGACACTACGACCAGAAGTCATCAACCAAGTATTGTCCAGAAATCCCAGAAAATCCATCTTCGATATCCAACACAATCCGATAGCATCTCCTGCCATTCCTCATTCCATACCAAATTCGTGGCGGGACCCGAGTGACATCTTGCGTAACCCCCGGTCGGGACAAATGGGCCACACGGGCTGTTCCTCTCCTGGTTTGGGTCCATGTGGGAGAAAAAGATAACATCTTTTACCCCTCCCGGGTCTCGAATTTTGCATGGCCGACTGGGCGCCAGTTGGGGGGAACTGGTTGTTTTGGATCTGGGTTTTAGAAACTCGGGTTGGATCGAACTCGGGTTGTTTTCTTGGGAGCCTGGCACTGTACCATTTAGCCATCAGTATCTTTGGGTTAATGAAAAAACGAGTTTCAATTCCTAAATGGCCTCTGCTAGCCTGCCCTGCGCGCAACAGCCGTGTCTGAAGCTATCGAAGATGCCGATGGCGCAACTTCCGGCCGGAAATTGCGGAATTTACGACTTGTGTAATCTTACGGTCTGGGAGAGAGAGCGAGAAAGCAAGCGGGTGTGAGAGAGCAGGCTAGCAGAGAAAATTTCGGACAACCTGTTCCCCTGGGCAATAACTCATCTTCCCAATGGCTGCTAATGCTCGAATTCTCAGCTCCATATGGTCATTCCCTGCCCGTATTCCATGACATGCCTATCGACACTGCCCGTACAGGGGGCCATTGCGCAATGGGTCGCGCCTAATCTGGCCCGCTCTCTCTCTCTCTCTCTCTCTCTCGCTTTTCCAGGGTTCCGGTCCAACCTTAGCTATATTGGCACAACCTCTTATCGTCACCCCCCACCCAGCCCCTACCACTAAATATGGCATAAGGCCATCGATCTGGGAGCTAAAACCGGTTGAAAATCTAATACCTAGTACGCAATCCAAAAAGAAAAAGCCTTGCACCGGCGTGGACACGAACCAGGGTCAATTTCCTGATAGCTGGGACACCTGACAGCTTGAACCACTACCATGTAGCCAACTGGAGGGCCTTATTTTGCAATTGGCTTTAATACAGCTTTTAGTTTTAGTTTTCGCTGTATTTTTCAATTTTCCGCAAAGAATCCAGCCTAGCACGCCCTGGGAAAATTCGTATAAAAACCCACCTTGACATTGAGCGTATGGAGACTGGGGATATCGGCAAAAAATCCCGGGTCGATTTGTCGTGAGGTTCGGGAAGAGCAGACGAGGTGGAGGGTACGAGTGTTCGAGGGGAATTCAACCCGTTCGGGCAGTCCGGAACCTCCAAAATTACAGAATAGCGTCGAGGCCTTGGGCATCGCCGCATCCGGGATACAGTCGCATCTGAAAAATGAGCTTAAGTTAGGCTTAGGCTTCGGTTTTTCCTTTTCTCAAAGGGGCCTACCAAAGCCCGATAGCTTTACCCTCCTAAACGATGCCTGGGCAGCTTGCTCTGGTTGGATCGATCTTATAGGCGATCTTTCTAGCCTACCCCTCCTAGCCAGAAAGCTAAAAAGATTTTTCATCAAGCTCGTCCTCCTAAATTGCCTTTGCTAGCCTGTCTTGAGCCACACTATTTTTGACTACTAAATGATCTCTGCTAGCATGCCTGTCAAGCTTTCGTTAGCCCGATCGGTTTCCCAAATGATCTCTGCTAGCTTACCCTGTCGGACACGCGAATATAGCCTCTATCCTCAATAAAAGGATGAGGGCTGGAAGGAGGCCTAGCATCACCGTCGAATATACATAAATAGAGGCGATTTGTGGGGTAGAAAGTCCTGCAAAAATTGACCTGATAAAGTTCATCTGAAAAATGAAAATACTTTCATAATGGAAAACATGGAAAAATAAAAATGACGAATATGGGGGTGGGGGGATATAGGTAGTAAATAAATAGGTGGAGATGACTCAGAATGGACGGTAGCTGTGAGAGAGAGAGAGAGAGAGAGAGAGAGAGAGAGAGAGACAAAACTGGATGCCAAAGATGGTGGCGAGCATTCCAAAGAAATCCAGATTTCTTGAGTAGTGCTGGGGCGATCTAGCAGAGATTCTTAGTGAGCGAGTGAACGAGAGAGAAAAGAGTGAGAGATAGTGAGTGAGAGCGACCTCGAGAAAGAAAAACGTTGTATAAATAAGTAACAAACTAATAAACCTTCGAAAATTTGCACCAGATCGAGACAAGAATGCAGAAATTCTTGTCGGTATCGGTGCAAAATACAGGCAAGCTAGCAGAGAATATTGTGGAAACCAGCCAAATTCTGGAACGTAAATAATGGATCTAGATTCTCGGCTAGTCCGCCTTCCTGTAATCCTGGATATCCCCAACCAGCCCTCACAACAACGCGCGGAAAGGGGGCGGGGCCTTAAATATGCCTCAGGGCACCATTTCCTATAGAGGCAAGAGAGAGAGAGAGAGAGAGAGAGAGAGAGAGAGAGAGCGCGGAGGTGGGGCCAGGTGTCGGCAACAATAACCCCCTCGTTATACCACCACCAACCTTACCCTTGATGCCAAAACAACAAAAGTGTGGGGGGGGAGGCGGGACTTGCGCAAGGTGTCAATGTGGGAACGGACCCTTTAAAGGACCTACGCGGCGTGTAGTTGGCTTCATTATTTGCGTAATGGGGGCGGACCTGGGAAAAAGAAAAAAAGCAAGAATAGTCCCACAAGCTTGGATTTGGCTTTGCTTTCCGTAGGTTTAATCATCCATCAAAAGCCCTGGGAAAAACTCGAGGAAAAATTTTTATCGTATTTTAACTGAAATAATAATAGATGTTCATTTTTTTCGATGGTAAAGCGAGAACACACCTCATTTTTGTTTCTGGTTTTCATAGAGAACACAAGGGTGTTGCTTTTCGACTCGTAAAATGATACTGACATCGGCTTCACTTTTTAGACGAACTCCCAAATGGCCTAGAAAATTCCGATCAGACCATCCGGTCATCGATCCCCGCTCACCGAACGAATCGTTGCTAGCCTTGCCCATTACAAATTACTGTAACTCCGACAACAAAAGGCTGAAGAAGGTCCTCCATATCACCCCGGCCCAGAAATATAACCCCCGGTCATCCCTCTCCTTTCAACCCCAGCCGAGTCAACCCCCGAACAACTTACACCCTTTCAACCGTTTATCCCCTTTCTAACTCACCTATTAAACCCCAATTTAACACCCTATTCATGGCCCTAAAACCCTGAGGTCACGAGCCCCTCTAATGGGACAACTTTGCGCTTATTATCCATAGAGGTGTCCAAAGGTGTGAGGCGTACAATGCAATGCCGAAAAGGGCAGTAATCGATCCCTCAGGCGATCAGGTGGGATGCCACGAAAAATCGGCTATATTGGGTCTAGCAAAATCGGACCGCAGCGGTTTTTATAGCAATCAAAAGCCCAGAAAATGACGAGTTTTATAAAAATTCTAAAATTCGCGTGTTTACATCTTAAACCATCGATTTGCATAAGATTAACTTGGAGTTTTTGGTAATTATGGGAAACCACAAACTAAAATCTCTCAAAATTTTAGCAAATTAATGTAAGCGATAAAATTTATAGCAAAAATAGTGAATTTTTCCGGCCATTTTTCATCTATTTTTGCTATAACCTGCATTTCGAAATATTTTGGTCTAAAATTTTGGCCAGTTATAGATTTTACTCTAATATAACTACGGTAAAAATCACAACCCAATTGAATATCAAATCGGCCCAAACCAAGGGTCATAACCAATAAAAGATGCATGAGACCCGGCTAAAAACTAAAATTTGCGCCGCTGGCAGCAAAAGCCGTGGATTCAGCCTGTGTTGGTGGCCTGTAAATGGCAATGAGTGGGGGACAGAGAGAGAGAGAGAAAGAGAGAGAGGGAGAGCGCGAGAGAGATAGAGGGAGATAGAGAGACCGAAACCGCTGCTGCTGACTAATTGTATCGAAACAAGGAGGAGGGGACGAAAAAGGGAGCGGCGATCTCTCTCCCTCTCTCTCTCCCTCTCTCACTCTCTCACTGTCTCTTCCACCGATCCCGTCGGGTCATCCCTATTACTTGATATCAATCACCAATCGCCCCCTCCCCCATATAACCGAAAAAGGTGCGCCTCCTTCATGGAAGGCCTTTCTTGGCAAATATAAAACGGCGTGTGCCGAGATAATGGAAGCGTGTTATGCCATAAATATTGCGTATTAATAATTGACGTACACAAGTTAATTTGGAGAAAAAGCCAAAACTTTGTCGCAGGCAGGTAGATTAGGCTTATTAGGCTTAGGCTTAGGCTTAGGCTTAGGCTTGGGCTTGGGCTTAGGCTTAGGCTTAGGCTTAGGCTTAGGCTTAGGCTTAGGCTTGGGCTTGGGCTTAGGCTTAGGCTTAGGCTTAGGCTTAGGCTTAGGCTTAGGCTTGGGCAGGCTTAGGTTTAGGCTTAGGCTTGGCTTAGGCATATAGCGTGTTTTGGCTTGGACAAGGATCAGGTTGGCTTAGGAATGAATGGTATGATAGCTGATCCCCGAAAGTATTGGTTAAAGCCCCGCCCCACCGGATACATTCCCACATCCGCCAGGTGCCCCTCATCTCTGGAATTCTTTCGGTACTCACTTCTTCCGGGCTGGGGTCTTTAGGGAATGACAGTAGATGCCCTCGGGGTATGGGATGGGGTGGGAAACCCGGTGGCCACTGAGACCCCCGGAAATTGAGGAGCATCCAACACTGTCGGCATCAAAAAAGCAACTTGCTGAAAGTTGGCGGGAAAGTTGGGATTACGGTAAGCCGATAGAGTAGAGTGAGAGAGAGAGAGAGAGAGCAGCAGAAATTCTTGAGGAATTCAGGTAGACGATTTTGGTATGATTCAAGTTGACATAGCCAAATAAGACGAGAAAGAGAGATAGAAAAAGAGAGAAGGTAGAGAGTAAGCTAGAGAAACAGATATTCTTAGCGATTTCTTAGCTAAAAATTTGGATGCTAGCAATGTGCGTTGTGAAATAGCGGCCAAAACTCGCCTCAAGCCTGATCTCCAGTCGGAACGGCTTCAAGTCGGCTCAAGCCTACCATTCTTAGTCACAAAAGGAATAGATTTTCGGAAAAACTCGATTCAAATCGTAGCACCCTGAATCAGCTGTCCCGGTCTATATATTGGCGATTACAGGGATGGGGGGGGTGTAGATAGTAGCCCCTCGTTCAATCAGGTTTACAAGCGCCCCTTCCATTTTCAGGGTCACAGTTTATGGCCACTGCCCTCCTCTTCTAGCAACCACCCGGGAGGCTCGATAATAAAGCTATGGGGGAGAGACAAATTGCGGCCGTAGCCATTATACTTTATCGGGTCATTCCACATTGTTCTTATGGGGGTTATGGCAAAAATGGGGAGAGAGAGAGAGAGAGAGAGAGAGAGAGAGAAAGACAGACGTATATGTCCTACCGTACGGGAGAAATGCAAGAATCTCGTATACGAGAGAAACCAAATCTAGAGAGCGAGAGAGCTAGAGATACCGAGAGGGACCATGAGATGGCGAGAGACAGAGACAATGAGAGAGCAGAGGGAATGCGAGAGAAAGCCCGAGAAAACGAGGAAAAACGTGCGCAAGAGAGCGATAGATCTTGAGAGAAAACGAGACCGAGAGAGCGAGAGAGACGAAAACTTTCCCCAACTATCCCTGCTATGTAGCATCCCCTTCATCCACCCCATTGAGAAGAGTGTCTAAACATTGGCTTAAGCCGCCTTAAGCCGAGAAAACATTTGTACAACCCCCGGCCCGGGGGCCATAGGCCGGAGGGCATGAAATACGATACGGCAGGTCCGGCAGAAGAAGCTGAAGAGGATGGCCAGAAGATGGCGGAGAGAGGGATAGAGAGAGAGAGAGAGAGAGAGAGCGAGAGAGCGAGAGAGATCTGGCTGGCAATACCCTCAAAAAGGCAAGAAATGACCGGTCCAATCCCCTCTCTAGCCTCCAGCCAGCTTAGCCTAATCCTCGGCAAACAGTAACCCGGCTCGAGTGCGCCAACCTGACGCCTAAACTATGGCTTTTCAGAGGGGCTGAATGTCTAATTTTACTGGATTCGTGGCAGACGTTTTCCAACGGTTTTAAAATTTTTTTTTAGCAAAAAAGTAGAATTCACTCGCGGCCTAATGGTAGTGGGATACCCGGACAGGTAAATGCCTCGATTTCGATCCCGGGGCGCGGTTTTTCCTTTTGGTCGGGAAATGGTAATTTGAAGCAATAATAGCAATAATGGTAATAATCATATTTAAAAGCTGCAGTGCGTGGTAGTGTATTGGTAATGAGCCTAGGCTTAGGCTTAGGACCAGGCAGAGGACGCTGGTTCGACTCCCGACTGCGGCAGGAC